AGGAGGGGAATTAAGCTCTCAACAGCTGCAGCTGCTGCCTCCATCCTTCACATCCTCTTTAGTGGATGGGACAGCAGGATGCTGGAGCTCCAGGGCTCTTGCCCTGATTATTCACTGCTGGTTTGTAACGGCAGGTCTGTACCCATGGAAACTTCCTGTCCCAGCCCTTCCTTCAAGGGGCATCTGTACTAGGAATAACCTTGGCCTCGTGTACTGGAAAGCAGCGAAATTCAGTTCAGAAAGGCCTTGAGCCAGCTCATTTCAGAGCCCCTGCATTTCACTGTCCTTTATTTCCCAGCTTTCTCCCATCATAGTGTTCTGGATCCCCACGGAGTTGCTATATATGGGCTTCAGGGAGGACAGGAGTAGCAGGCACATGCAGGGAGATGTGCCTTAATCTCCTTTAACAGAGGCCTTTAAGCATCAAACCCCACCAAAGCACAAGGAAATGAAGGTAAGCAAAAGGGAAGGCTTTTTACTGGTGAAGAGTATCAAAGCGAAACTTAACTAGTATAGGCTAAAAAGATTTTGTAGCTTCACCTCTCTTAAGAAAAGCTCAAGCTCCCTGCATGATTACAGTCTTTTTCCCAAAGGGCTAAGTAATCTTTAATAAATTAATACAACAATGATTTATTACTAGAAATGAGTTTCAAGGCCTCTTACAATCTGACAGTGTACGTGCTTTACATATTTGAGACAAAATGGTACATAGATTTTCTTTCTGAATCACTTCAGGTCGGTGACTTCCACAGACTTGATGACACGTTCTGGAGGAAAACCCCTGACTTGGTGCTCTTTTAAACAAGAGAAGTCAAGTGGTATCTGTGTTGTTACTGAACACTTTAGTTGTACTAAGATTATGATACCACTAATATTAGAAGTCACAGAAATCCCTTCGTATTTTTCCCATTTTAGTATGTGTGCCCCAACAAAAAAACATTTTTCCTGTTGGAGAGTGGATGGGTGGGACATAATATAATACATCTTCAGGTAAGAAAAACATTTTAAGTCATCTGGTATCTGTGAGGATTGCATGACTTGTTTTTTTATTATCTGAGAAGCTTAAAAAATCCAGTCTTTTCAGAAGATTACATTACTGTAAATCACAGCCTACAGACAGCAATAGCAGTAATCTCTTGGGAGAAATAACAACTAACAACAACACTGTTTGCTGAGAAGTAGCACTTGTGTAATTGTATACGGTTTATGACCTATGAGATCACATCTGTTAAGTACAGAACATTGCTTTCTCTGACATTATAGCCTAAAATCAGTAACCTGTACTTAAAAATGGTAGTACTACTGGACCAGACAATAAGTTGGTTTGGGGGCTGGCTGTGGTTATTGTTTACCAGTGTGTACTCTGGGCAAGAGCTCCTCTCATC